AAACTGATTGGAGGCTAAAGAAAAAGAAAAATTGAAGATGTTTGCCTTTGCATGGGTTTTTTGCTACTTCCTTTGTCTCCCTGCCAGTCTGGAGAATCCTACTGCTCTTTCGAAAGTTGGGTGCCTGGCTTGTACTTTCACAGATGAAGTTTGTCAGCCTGGGGAAAATTATGTTTTGGTGTCAGCAAGACCTGACACGTACTATTTGGGTTAGGTATATGTTGTTGAGCACACAGGGACTTGGGATTAAACCTGCTGAACTTTTGTCCACATAAACTTGTAGAGCTGATACTGTCTCTGGAAGGGGGACTGTTTGAGAATAGTAGATAAATAATATCTACCACCCAGTGCATAGTAGATGCTGAGGTCAGCAGAAGCAATAGTTGGGTTGTTAATACTTAGGACTCTTCCTCACTGGCTGTGTGTGTGTGTGTGTGTGTGTGTGTGTGTGTGTGTGTGTGTGTGTAGAGTGAAGGTGTAAGATCTGTGCCAGTGTTGTCGGGTTGGTAGATCCCTTAAAGGAATTGTGAGTGAGCTCAGTGTGCTCAGAATACGTGGGTAGCTGGCATGTTTTAAAGCTTAAAAATTCATGCTGGGAATGAAATAGTAAGAGAGAAGATCAAAGAATATTGTGGCAGCAAACCCAGCACTGACGTTAGCAAAGGTGAGTTGGTCACCACACAGGGTGTGCCAATAATAAGGGTATTCATGTAAGGTGAGCTGAGTGTGTTTGTAATCAAGGTGATCACCTTTGTCCCCATTCTCCTCCTGCAAAAGGGTCAGATTCAACGATCTTCAAAGGTATAATACCCGAGAGCAACTTTTGCTCCAACAAGATGCCCTCTTCTGATCCTTAGCAACTCCTCCTCCAAACTGTTCATTCTCTGCAGAAGTAACGTTGACTAGTCTTTGAATAAACTACTATTCACTAAATTACCCTTCAACCAAATGAAGGAATGTAAGTTATTGATCATCATTACCAGAGTGACTGCTGCTGATAATATTTTAATTATTGCTTGCATCTCCTGGCCCCTAGCTCCAACTATCAGCAATCTTATGAATATCAAGTCATTTTTCTTTACTTAAGTAACTGCCATGCAAAATAGGAAGAGCACTGCTCAGGGCTCTCTACAAATGATCACTGACAAGTCTCTTAATTTTTCTAAGCCTTGTATCAGTTGTATATGAAGTGGGGGTAGCTTGAATGCTCCTAAGGTCACATTTAATGTATAAAAGAAAATATTTGAAGTGGTAGTAGGTGAACATAAGGTTTTATTTAGGCCCAAATCAGTGGACTTTTTTCTATTCCAATCCCTATGTATTACTCAACAGAATAAGCCAGTGTTGACAGTGAAACTCTATTCACTGTCCAAATCTTATCTGTAGCTGTTTCTACTATTCATTTAAAGGCCTGATGGTAGAAACTCTGAGGTCTATTTCAGGTCAATTCTGAGGGAAAAACACAGAGAGGGTGAGAGAGGAGGAACAAAAATGAAATAGCCAGATTGTGAAATCCAGCAACCTTGAGCTGCTGGCCCCAGCCTTTCTGCTGGGATTGGCCTGAGCTTTGAAATTCTCACAGCTGGAACAGACAGTAGCTATTTCCCCCCAAACTCCTGAAGGTTTATTCTGAAAATGACAGCTTTTTTCCATTCACAGCTGATTAAGGAAGTCATCCAACTTCCTAAATCATCACTTTCACCCTATAGCTCTTCTTCAGACAAGCCTTCAGTATTTGTCCATGAACTAGAAATAAATATTGGATTCTAATCTAGGGCCCACCACCCACTCACCACCACTAGGTTCTTCTTATTTATCTTCTGTCTGTTTTATAGCTAGACATGCAAGCTAGGTTGGTTTCCTCTATGTCTATGTAGTACCTTTCCTAAAAAGTAACTTGGCTCATTTTTTTCCTCCTTTCTAAAATAGTGATTCTCCCTACATACTCTACTTCTCATGCATAATTTTTTTTTTTGTACCAGAGATCAAATTCATGGCCTTGTACTTGCCAGGCAGGCTCCATGCCACTGAGTTATATCCCCGGCTTCATGGTTAATCTTAATGCTACTGAGCTTGAGGATCTATCTTTTTTTTTTTTTTTTTTTTTTTGGTCTTTTTCATTTTTATTGTTACCAGGGATCGAACTCACGACCACCTGCTTGCAAGGCAGGTGCTTATGCCGCTGAGCTAAATCCCCAGCCCCATTGAGGATCTATCTCAAATCTCCTTCTTCTGTGCAGTCTTTCCCACTCACATCTTGCCTGCCCTGCCATATACCTTTCCTGTCACATCTGCCACAGGGCTCCTTCACCACAACTCTATCCTGGAGACCAGTCAGGTCATTTCTGCTGGATAGAACCTGTCCCAAGCATCATTCAGCTTTCTCTTCATGGACATGAGAAAACCAGGTGAAGGTGCCCATCTTAAGCTTCAGAGGACTGTGGCCAGAAGAGGAGGCAGCACCTCGAATCATGGACTCTAGCCTCTTAAGGTAGACACATCTAACTGCTCTGTTAGGTGATGACTTGGTCGAAAGGAAGGTGGTTATACCTAACACTTTGCTGGGGAAAATGCCAGTTTGAATCTCTTTTTCCTTGGCTCTCATAATAAGGAAAAAGAAGGAAGAGATTTCAGTACTAACATGACACCGTAGGTGCCAGGCTCTGTGTCATGCGTCAGAGGTAGATTATCTCATTACATTCCCTCAAGGACCTGATGAGGTTAGTACAGGTTGAGTGTCCCTTCCCTGAAATTCTGAGTGTTTCTGGTTTATACTTTTTGAATTTTGGAATATTTGTATAGACTTTACCAGTTGAACATTCCTAACATGAAAATACGGTATCTGAAATGATTGAAAATTAGAAATCATTGCGTGTCATGTCAGTACTCAGAAAGATTTTAGATCTTAGAGCACATAAGATTTGAGACTTCCTGGTTAGGAATGAGCATGGTACATTTGTGTCTACTCATAGCCGAGAAAACACAAACTCAGAGAAAGGATATAGTTTGTCCAGTGTCTGGGTAAAAGACAGGCTGGGTTTTATTTGAACCCAGTTGATTCTGAGTCTAAAGTTTGTGAAATATTTTCTCTTTTTTCTTTCTTTCTTTTTTTTTTTTTTTTGTAGAAAAGATAGAAAGTTATTTTTCTTTCCATTAGTTTTAATTGGCTTTTGTTTGTGATACATAGTGATTATGTCACCATGGGGAGTTGGTAATCAAACGATCCAGTTGCATCTTGATCATCTTTGCTTCTTTCCCCTTCCTTCTCACCTCATCCCAGATCCTCTTTCCAGCTCTACAAAGTCTACTTCCTTGTTTCCTGTCGTGTCTCTTTTATTTTGCTCTTTAAATTATATTTTGAGTTTCGCATGGAAGGGAAACCATGTAGTACTTAACTTTCTGTGTCTGATCTATTTCGCTTAACTTTAAAGTCTCCAGATTCATCCGTTTTCCTACAAATGACTCAAATTTACCTGCTTTGTGGCTGAATCTCCACTTTTTGCACCCACAGTTTTCAAAGTGTGATCCTCAGAGTAGTGGCATCAGCATCTCCTGGCAAATTGTCAGAAATGTAAGTCCTTGGGCTTCATCTAAGTCCTCCTGAATCAGAAACTGCAGACATGGGGCCCAGAAATCTGTGCTGCCACAAGTCCTGGTGTTGCACACTCCAATTTGAGCACTGCCGTTCTACGCTCTTCTGCCCACTGGAGGACCCCTTCTAAGTTTGTCTGGAAGCCGTACTGACATGGGACACTCAAAATGCTGGTTACTGGTGGACCCCCGACTGGGACACAGTCCCACCTGATTGATGCTCCTGGGCCACCTGGCTCCTGTCAGTGCACCCCAGAGCTTTGCGAATGCCTAGAGAATCAGATGGTCTTGCGATGGAATTTTAAAAAGAGAAAGAACTTTTGATTCCCTCAAGTCTTTGTTAATATGGCTTGTCATCCTCTAATCGTTCTTGCCAGGTTTGTGCTGTGCCTATGTTGACTGCCTGTATTGCCAAAATTTCCTGTGAATGTTGTGTTCTTGGTCATTTATTCCTTCACTATTTGACAAAACCTGTGGATGTCATGTGGGTGACCGGAATGGCACAAGCTGTGCATTTGAACAGTGAGTTGGAGACATGCAGACGCTGTGTGAGGGGCTCACATGAGCAGGCAGTTACCAGGACGCAGGAGGGAGGTGCCGGAGGGCAGGGCACAGTATTCTGGGAAACTGGGGCCCTGTCTTCCAGCCTCGCAGTCAGCAAGCTGCTTGAGAAAGTGAGGGTGCAACTGAGGAGCTGTAGAAGGACGTAATGGAGAGTTGTGGAGGAGTGGTGGGTGACACAGAAGAGACTCCAGGCTGTGTGAGCTGCTCACTGAAGACCTGGAGGAGAGAATCATCCCAGCATGGGAAGCAAAATCCAGCAAGGCTGCAGCCTTGAATGAGAGTGGGATGTGAAGAGAGGTGAGGCATTGGGAAAAGGCAGGAGGCAGACTCAAGGGCTCTATAGGTCTGGTGGTGGAGTCTGAACTTTAGGGAGCTGGGAAACCACTTTAAGAAGAGAAGTGATGTGGAAAAAATTACATCAACAAGATCACTCCAGAGAGGGCTGGGGATTTAGCTCAGCGGCATAAATGCCTGCCTGGCAAGTGTGAGGTCATGAGTTCAATCCCTGGTACCGCAAACAAACAAACAAAAAAAGATTACTCCAGGGCAGTTATAGCTTATTCTCAGACATTTCTTGTTGGATGTGTTTTCACTGCTAATGCACTACAAACCCTTGAACGTTCTCCTTTCTCCTTTTCTCCTATGTATGCCTTGCCAGGGTACTAGTAGAGGGCCGACTCTACCAGATGCCCTGCCCAGGGAAAAATCAGACCCTGCTCAGGTTGGGTGAATTCCCAACCTGTCAGTTGAGAGGGAAGGCAGGGTGTTTTGCTCATTTGCATTGCTTTTATTATTCCATGAGGAAGTGAGTCACCTATAGCATCATCTTCTGTTCTTACCTGCAGGATGCCTGTCCTTGCTGGTGACAGTCCAGGACACAGAACGCTATGTTACCCTGTTTGCCTCCGTTACCCTCAAATGTGACTACACCACCTCCGCACAGCTCCAGGACGTGGTTGTGACATGGCGTTTCAAGTCCTTCTGCAAGGACCCCATCTTTGATTACTTCTCTGCCTGTGAGTTACCTCCCACTTCATGTTCTGCCCAGGACCCAGGCATCTCTGGGATGTACTATCACTGGGACTAGGAATTATTTAAGATCACAAATCTATGAGAAGCCACAGAGATAGAGTACCTTCAGTTTTTAGATAAACTGAACCCAGGCTGACAACATAACTTGCTCAAGGTCAAATACTAGTTTATTTTCAAAACATTGTCCTGCCTTGTTCTAATAAATATTTAAGGCAGCTCAGATATTCTGTGAAAAGTAGGACAAGTCTTGTCACCTCGTCCATTCCTGGTTGATGCTAACACCGATCCCTATTTACCCTACTGCCTTCAAATGTAGATAGGAAGACATCTCAGGATTGTCTCAGGATGCAAGGTCTGAGTGGTCACTGGTAAAGCCCTTCCAGGGCCACATCCCTTCCTGGGCCAGCCTTCCTGGTTAGGGTCCTTCCTCAGATGAGCATTCTGAATGTCAGAGAGTTCTCTGTTCTCTGTCCCCAGCAGCGCTTTTGCAGTTGGGCGATTCAGTGCTACTCAGCCAGGGCCTCACTCTCAGTAATGACTGCCTGCATCCAGAGCTCTTTCTTAGTAACCCATTTCTGTACTCTCTAGAAACAAAGGAAGTCAGAAACCCACAGTTAGCTGGAGCCAACGTTTTAGAAATTTTGAGACTAGAAGCAGACACCTTACAGCAGTGGTGGCAAACCTATGGCATGTGTGCCGCAGCAGACACACAGAGCCCTCTCTTGTCTGTGTGCGAGCCAGGTCACCCCAGCAGCCAAGACTATCATGTAATAGTTGTTTTTAATAAACTAAAACATCAGTATTCAGGTTGATTTGCAGTATTGCAATTTGTGATAAGTATGTGAGGTTGGGGTTGCAATTTGGGCACTCAGTCTCTAAAAGTTTCACCATCATTTCCCAGGAAAAAGTGAGTGTCCTAAGATGAGGCAGAGGAGCCCAGTGCATCGGCTTTACCACCTTGGGGCTAACGTCCTCAGTAAGATTTGAGTAGAACCAAAATATTTAATTGTTTGAGCCACTCACTGTTCCTGAAATTGTCCCCCAAGACATTATTTCCTGGGGGTTACTCTTAAAGTGCCTGGGCTAAATGGGAAGGGAAGACACATTAGAGTAGGAGACAGTGGCCATCAGCAGATTTAACAGTTCTCCCATTTCCTGTTGTAAGAACAGGTTAAATGAGCATTGTGGGATCAGAGGCTGTAAGACTGGGGGTGGGGGAAATATAGCCAAGACCTGCAAATGATGGCCTCTTGGGATGTCTGGAGTCTTCTTGCTGAAAGTGAGGCTTCTGTCATCACCTGTGGTTGATGGGCATCAGCAGGGGGCTTTTGTGGTCTCAGTGTGGCTTCTCTCCTCAGCATACCAGGCAGCATTATCTCTGGGCCAAGACCCCTCCAATGACTGTAATGATAACCAAAGGGAAGTGCGCATTGTGGCCCAGCGGCGGGGTCAGAACGAGCCAGTGCTGGGGGTGGATTACCGCCAGCGCAAGATCACCATCCAGAACCGTGAGTGTAAGGGAACTGGGGGTGGCGGAGGTCCAGACCCAGGCCTGGCAGGCTGAGTCAGCATGGGCTTTCCCAGCTCTTTTGATCTACTGGGCACTGTCATAGTTTGAGAAAAGTTCCAGATTCTTAGAATGTGCTGCTCTGTCTGAAATTACTTCCCTTGAACTAGCTCTGTCGATGGGAGGGTGTTCTGGGGAGAAGGCTAAAGGTCTGGGTGGGTTCCTTGGCTTTCTTGAGATTTAGAGTGATTTGTAAATTGGTTCTTGGATCCTCTCCACAAATTGCTGTCAAGGTCCAATCAAACCCCAGGTCTCTGGGTGCAAATCTGGCCACTTCTGTTGCTTATACAAAGGAAATACAGGCTTGTGAGTAGGTGACCACTCTAGCCCACTATCCTCATTGATAGAAGAAGGAGCACTGGGCTGGTGTAAAAAGCTGTGTGTGAGAATCCCAGTGCTTCTGCTCACTGGCTTGGTGGTCAGCACCGGATCAATTATCTTCCTTGGTTTCTTTCCTCCTCATCTCTCAGATGAGGGTCTGGCTGCCCACACTGAAGTACACAGTGAAGGCAATGTCTGTAAAATAGAGTTGGGCCATCAGCCATCTCATGGAGAACGGTGGCCTGAGCAAGCTATTGTATAAAGATCACTCAGCAAGCGGGAAGTACACAATAACATGCTCCTCATTCCTAACCTGTAATCAGCATTGCGCAGCGAGTCATTGGCACAGTACCAAAACCTTATTACAGTGAAACCGAGGTGCTATTTTAAACATTTTTCCAATTAAAAGAAAAAAAAATGGGAGAGAGCACCTAACTAGCCACGCATGGGTCCCACAGTCACCATGTGAAGAAATCAGTGAATATTGTACTCTGTGACCATTTAAAGGTTGATCACTCAGCCAGTTTTCTCATTGCTTCCAACTTCTTAATAGTTAAATCAGATCCTTTTACATCCATCCACTGATATTCCGAGGCTAGCCCTTGAACCCCCGTCTTTAGGAAATATCTGCCTCAGTCTCCAATTACTTCTAGTCTGACCCCAAATTTTAAGGCCTCTTTCATTAGCAAGTCTTGTTTATAGTTTTTGAAAGTTCATGGATGAGTTTCTGCTCTTCTGTTTTTATCTGATTCTAAACAGCACCTCCCGTTACGTCTACTCCTCTCTTACCTTTGGGTCAATTCCTGCATCTTTCTTGCTCCCACAGGGAAGCACTATTTTGTCTTGGGTTTTATTTCTACCACTGGACTTGTTGTGACTTCCTACAGTCCTCATTTTATTATACTTTCAGGCCTTTGTTTTTATGGTTTGAGATAACTCCATCAAATCAGTTGTTGGATCATCTAAAACATTAACATACCTGAATACCCTTCTTATGCTCACATTATGCGGGTTTACAAAGCTTGTCAAGCTTTGGAAAGACTTTTACCCAGAGTACTTTCACCGTCTTTCAAGGCTGGGGTGAGCTTGTTCACAGGAAAGATGATGGGTCTGGAAAATTATAGGTAGGAAAAAGTTTACAGGGATTGACGTAAAAGGGAAGGAAACAGAAGTCAGAATTTGGTCCAGTGTTGCATGACTTCGTGTTTTTGTTTCATTTCCTCAATAATTATTTTTTGACAAACAGATAATAAAGAATTAGGATATGGCCATTAAGTAAGGAAGAACAAGTCTGTCTTGCTAAGGTCTTTAAGAATTTGAAGATGTTTTCCTTCATTTAGTGACGCTAAGAACAGGTACAGCCATCCCTTTTGGGTGTGGAGGGATTCTGTTGCCAGAGACTGGCTCTTAAACCCTTCTGGAACAGAGAAAGTCTTGTTCCTCTTCAGTGTTCTCACAGTGCCCGACATAATGTTGAACCTACAAAAGTTCTTGAGTCAACATTTGTCCAATTTGCTAAACTGGAACATATGTTAACCATTCATTATCTTAATAGGGTATCAAATTATGCAGGGTTCGTAGGACTTAAATTCTTTTCTTGGGTATGAATTACTCTTTAAACTTGGGTATTCCAGGCATACTGATTTAACTGCATCTTCTAATCTTTTACTTCAAGATCCACAGGTATTTGCTTATCTTTAGGTGGCCAAGAATTCAGGCTGTGGTGTTTTCTACCTAGTTTGGAGAAGGTAATAGAGGCTTGTCGGTGTCAGCAAGAGCTCTCTAAGTTCCTGAAGAGGAAGAACAATGAGAGGATGAGGAACATAAAAGATAGAGACAGAAAGCTGGAGTCAAGTGGAGCCGTCTCTGGATGGAGGAGGAGACTGTTCAACCACCACAATGTGTTTATTTATATACTTGTCACACAATGCCCCTTTGCTTAACTAGCTGCCTTCTTACAGCCCATGTTCTCAGGGCTGGAACACCTGTTCACCTCCAGCACCCCATACCCTCAGGGATTTCTCAGGTACTCCATGCCCTTGGAACACTCCTGTTCCAGGCACTCGTGCTTTAGGCTCCGCATGTGTGAACTATCACTACCTCAGCGGCTCCCAACACAACCTAATATGTAAGAGCTACTGGCTTGGAGGCAGAGACTCGAAGTCACTGAGTACTATTATCTGCATGTTATTTAGCCAATTCATTAGCCTCTTTGTGCCTTTTCTTTCCTCATCTGAAATGCAGCCAATTAATCATACCCTCTATCACTTAGGATTAAGTTTGCTTGCAAAACCCAAAAATATTGATGACTCAGGCAGTAAAGAAGTTTATGTTTCTCTCATATGTAGAACCAGAGGCATATACATATCAGACCTAGAGCAAGATTTCTGTTCCATCAAGTCCTTTAGGGACTCAAGTTCTGTCTACTTAAGACTGTTTTCTTCCTCCTCATCCCAGTATTCTATGTTCTGTTACTATGACAAGATGCCTGAAGCATCTTTCTTTATAAGGAAAAGAGGCTTATTTAGCTCATAATTTTGGATACTGAAACTCCAAGATTATATAGCACCATTGGTTCAGGGTCTAGTGAGGGGCTCCTTGGTGGGATCACCACATGGTTGATGGCATCATGGTAGGAGTATATTTGAGAGAAATCACATGCACGGGTAGGAAAACAGAGCAGTGAGGGCCAATTCTGCTTTTTCGTAACAACCTACCCTTTCAGAAATTAACTAGAGATCACTTTCCAGGGCACTATCTTCAGTGACCTAGCTGAACCCTTAGTTCTCAACCCTCCCTTTGAAAGGTTCCACTACCTCCCACTTAACCACACTGAGGCTCAAGGCTCTGACATGTTAACCTTTGGGGTCAGGCTTAAACTTGTCTAAACCATGGCACCAGGTAACAGAGTTGGAAGAAGAAAGGGCAATGATGTTCACAAGCTGTTTTTAAGAAAGTTCCTGGGAAGCATTATGTGATACTTGTTATATTCTACAGGCTGGAACTGAGTTGCTTGTCCATGTCCATATTAAGAGGGGATGGGAAACCTAGATTTTATTCCAGATTTTGTGGTCTGTTTTGTGCTTCTATAACAAAATACCCAAGACTGGGGAACGTAGACTAAGTAGAAATGTACTACATTTGTTCACTGCTTTGGAGGTGGAGAAGTTTCAACTTCAGTGAGGGTCTTATTGCTGAGTCCTTGTGTAGCAGAAGGTGAGAAGGCAGGAAGGGAATAGATTCACCCTTTCATCATAGCACCCGCCTCATCCTTCAGCATGGCCCAGTTATCTTTTAAAGGTCTCGCCTCTTAACATTGACCCAATGACAATAGAATTGCAATATGAGTTCTGAAGTGGACACATATTTAACCATAGTCGCTGCATATATGGCCAGATATTACATGATTACAAGAGAAAGGGAAAAGATACACTAGAAGACAAGTGATCTCTACTTCCCCTTAAATTGTCTAGAAGTCTTGTGGAGTATGTAGAGGGACTCAATGGCAGCAAGCTCTACCATCACTCTCCTGTTCAGAGAAAGAGGAAGGTCTCAGAAGAAGAAACTGAGACCTTTCTTTCACCTACCATAGTTCCTTTTAGGATGTGGAGGGGTGATGCCACAGCTTGAAGGTACCGTTGGTCAGAAACCATGTTTTGTCCTCTGGTTCCTGGCACTTTCCCCTTCCTTCCTGTGCAGGAGCAGACCTTGTGATTAATGAAGTGATGTGGTGGGACCACGGAGTATATTACTGCACCATTGAGGCTCCAGGGGACACATCTGGAGACCCAGACAAGGAGGTGAAGCTCATCGTCCTGCGTAAGTGCTGTTGGCGCTTTCTATGATGTCACCATAATATTTTCCAGTAAAGGAACAGCAACAACCCAAAACAAAACTGAAACAAACCAATATTATTGTCATTTGTGAGCCACTGAGTTCCTTTATCAAAGCTAAGTGAATGTTTTTGTTTGTCTGCTACATGTTTGTTTTACTTTTAGCCAGTCCGTTGCTCAGTGTTAGCCTACAGGGCAAGAGTGTTAGAACCAGCGATGGCCCCTGTAGGTTGTTTACCCCTGCCTGGCTTCTGCCCCCAGATTGGCTGACAGTGATCTTCATCATTCTGGGAGCTGTCCTGCTGCTGCTGCTAATCGGAACATGCTGGTGCCAGTGCTGCCCACAGTACTGCTGCTGCTACATCCGCTGCCCCTGCTGCCCCACGCGCTGCTGCTGCCCCGAGGAAGGTGAGCAGGGACAGACCAGCTGTGAGGTGGAGTGGTACTGAGGGGTCCAGAACTCCAGGCAGGTGGGCTTACCACCTTCATGACAAAGCCCTGCGTTCTTACAGGATCTCCTATCACTGATTTCAAGGATACTAACCTCAGTCCTGTAGATGGTGCCCGTGGCTCTACAGAGTCACACGGGAGGCCACAATACGAAGATTTCTCCCTGCCCACCTGCTAGAGGGCCTGAAGCCTCTTCCAGATGGCTCTGCCTACCGATGGCATTTCTTCAGTTGTCCTGACTTGCTTGGATTATAGTCTTTGCCCCTAATCCTGACCCTGCTTAGACATAAGCTGGCCAGAGAAACAGTATAAATGAAGCAGTGAGAGAAAAATCTACTTTAAAGCAATATACTACTTAATGTCATTTTTTGTTGAGACCAGATCTTGCTTTTGATGCTAGATGTGTATCCAGATACCAACCCTACCAGGAACCAACTGGGCATCCTATAATTTAACACTCTGACACTGTCTACCTGGAGATGGCGAACACATCGCACAGTACTGACTGCCACAAGACTGCTCCCCTTATATATGGCAATCCCAAGTAGGAGATGGTTACCTGAATTTCTGATCAACTGGCTAAAAACTGAGGATGCTAAGACCTCCCTCTTCGGATTGTTTTAATCTGTTAGAGCACCTTTTAGAACTTCGGAACACTTCACTTACATTTATCCACTCAGTACAAAGGCTGCAGGAAGGGATATAAATGAAGAGCCACTGGTGGCCCAGTCTGTAGGAAGAGCCGTGGCACTGTCACACCTTCACCAAGTGCACAGGCCCACAGCTCAGTTGCCAGAAGCTCCCTGAACCTGGCCCTTTTGAGTCCTGTGGCCACTTTGCTACAAGTGTGATTTATTAAGTCATTCACCATTTATGATCAACTGGACTTTCAGCCCCTGTCCCTTCCTGGAGGTTAGGGGATGGATCTATCTGAAATTCCCCACCTTGTAATCACACACTGCTCTTTCTTATGGGCAACCCCCAATCTGAAGCCATCTAGGCGGTTCCCAACCACCAGCCATCACACTAGTGTACAGAATATATTCATCACTCTGGAGAGTCCAAGGATTTTAGGAGCTATGTGTCAGGGGCCAGGTGCAGAAGTACATACTTTTTATTCTATTCTATTGTCATACCATTTCTTAAAGAAGACTTGAAAAGAACAGAGCAAAAATATATTGAAGCAATGTTTTGTTTTGAGATAGGATCTTGCTAAATTTCCCAGGCTAGGTATGAACTTGCATCCTTCCTGCTTCAGCCTACTTCAGTGCTGAGATCACAAGCAAGCTCCCACTGCACCCAACTTGTTCTTGATGGAATCTTTATTTGAATTAAAGCCTGATTCTTCAAAACAGAGCTATAAAAATTTGACAAAAGAATATATGGCAAAGGCAAAAGAATTAATGAATTAAAAATCTTTTATTAGTAAATTGGTGGAGTAGAATCAATTGTTTTAAATGGAAGTTTTTGTTTCCATTTTAATTAACAATTTCCTTTCCTACATGATATGCTACCACATGGTAGAAAATTTGCAAAATTCATAAAAATGTGGACTAATTGGAGCAGCCACAGACTTTCTTTCAACTTGAAAGAAAACTTTTAAAGGGGAATTAAGGAATTGCCCATTATAACAGAAACAAAAACAAAAACCTAATCTTCATTAAGAAGGTCAGTTTTTTGAGTCTGGTTTCAGGCCTGTGCGCCAAGGCTGCTGTCTTACAGGAAAAGAGAACTAACTTTTGTTGGATAGCATCATGTGCATGACCTTTGCACATATGTCCTCACTGAATCCTCACAACAACCCTAGAAGGCAGATGGCATCCCTTTTTAACAGGACAGGAGACAGAAAGACGAGTCTCACAGCTAATAAGTGACATTGGCAAAGCAGGTTTGGTGCATGTACATGTGGTGTGTAAGTGTCTGTGTGTCTCACCCAGGCACCACCCCGGCTTCGTGGGTGGATCACTCTGAGATCAGCTAAAACAGTATGAACTCCTTAAAGAGGGCCAAATAGCAGAGTTGAACCATGGGTTTCCTGTTCAGAGGGATCAAGGGGAGAAGCCATGGGGAAACCTCTGTTGCTGGAGTAGTGATTTGGGAGATGAGATGAGAGTAATCTTGCAGGACATCTTCTTAGAATCTGTAGACCTGTGGGGCCCTGAAACCCAGGCTGGGGACAAAGCCAGCACAAGGGACATATGTATCCAGTCAATGAGCTGACAAACAGGTTCTTGGGAGAGTGTTTTTCCCCAGGTAGTTAGAGTTTGGGCCACAAAGAACTCCGGACTTGAGCTGATGAGGTCACTTTCAAAGTGAGTCACTGTTCTGAGAAATTTGGTGACAAGAGAAATTACATCAAGGAGTAGGGGTTGTTAAGGAAAGCACTATAATTGGAAAAGAGGTTTTTTGTTGTTGTTACTGGTTCTTTTAGACCAAGATAACCCTAAACATACATGTAGGCAGAAAGCCAGGCCAATAGCAGAGAAGAAGCTGAACATTTAAGAAGTGAGGTAGTCACTGATGCATGATGGCATCAGGGCTGCCAAGAAAGAACTAGCCTGAGACAGGGGAGGAGGTCTGGGGGGTTAGCTCAGTGACTCAAGTGCTTGCCTGGTGAGCGCAAGATTGTGAGTTCACTCCCCAGTGCAAAAATAAATAAATAAAAATAAAACAGAAAGGGAAGGGGAAGGAGAGAAGGTGGCCTGACCTCTGGGCCAGAGAGGAAGTTATTGAGGGTAGAGGATGATTCAGGTAGAAGAGAGGAAGCTCACACGAACCTGTCTCGATTTCAACAAATCAGGGTAGTAGATATGCAAGGTTTGAGGAGGAGGAGACCAGTGATTCTGGAACTTCTCTAACCACACCTGAACCCTCTAGCCTGCTCCCACCTTCCCATAAGAGTTATCACAGGGTTGGTGGGGACAACAATGAAAATGACACTAAATTTTAGTAGCCCTTGGTAATGCACATAGTCCTGGTAAGCAATCTTCAGTAGGATTTACAGATGAAAATTTTGAAAATTTAGTCTTACTTTTTCCATGAGAACTGGAGAAGCAGCTTTTGCTCCTAGGTGGATAACTGGCCCTGTTCCCCAGAGAACCCGAGACACACTCCATGCCAGCCACAGGCAACCCTGAGAATCTCTGACCTCCACCCCCGCAGCCCCCACAGCTGAGGGAAGCGGGGCCTGGAGAAGCTTGTCCACAATTACACAACCCTTCTGTGGTGGGGCCCGGGCTAGGCTTACATCTCTAGACTCCTTATGCACAGCTGATTCCTTGCCCTTAACAAAGACATCATCAGCTGAAAGTTTACAAGGAAGGAAAGACCTTCCTTGGGGAGGGTTTAACCTGGTACCAGAAAGGAGGGAACATAGATGCCAACCAAGGAAAACCCTGCTGGGAAGAGGGAGACTTGACCTTAGGATCTGGATGGGGCAAAACACACCTACTGGTGGTTCACTACAGCCAAACAGCAAGAGCTCAAAGAGCCTGCATTTCCAGGAAGCTCCTGAAGATGTCACTGAAATGACAGACCAGTGAAGTCAGGGAAGATTGACAGTTTGGAAAAAGCAAAAGGACTGAATGGCCATGGGCTAACAGGAGGGCAAAGGACAGGTTTTATTTTAGGGCACGGAAAGTTTGAAGTCTGGACTCTGGTTCTGTGTGTTTGTGAACACAGAGGATGCCAGCTATAAGGGGGAAGAGGTATGGGTCTCTGGAGAGGGTGAGGTGTCAAGTGTCACTTCTGTCATAAAGTGGTCATCTTAAAGAATATGCCCTGGGTTTCCCTCAGAGATAGAAATTAATATGCATTTGGTGATTTAGTCTCCAAAGACATGTTTGTCTCTGCCTATGGGATCTAAGGCAAAAGATGTAGTTGGTTATAATAATGAGAGCTGCTGTGAGTTCTGTGTCGTCTATTAAGCAATCCATGTGCATAACCTTATTTCATCATTTCAACCATGTGAAAGAGTTCTGTTTAGCTTAAAGAGCAGAAGAGTGGGCTGAGACTCTGGAAACACTCAGTGGCACACAGCCAATCTATGCCAGTGTGTGCACTGAAGTCCACCTGATTCCCAAAGCCTGTTTTTAAGGGCATATGTCTCAAAGTACTAGGAATCCTCAGTAGTTAGCTCAAGGTTGCCTCCCAGCATTAAATCAGGGTCTCGGTTGAAAGTGCACATTTTCTTGGCTCATGTCAGAATAACTGAGGCAGCGTCCAGAAGAGAGACCCCAGGAAGCAGCAGAATGGTACCAGGTGGAAAAAGCCAGGGTTCAGTGAAGGGAGTGGCAGAAGGCAGACTTGTTTTCAGTGGAACCAGATGTCTCTAATCTTGGGGACAGAGACTAGTCTGAGGTAGGTTTTAAAGGTGTGGGGCAGAGTTTGAGAGAAGTAAACCAAAGAGGTTCTGCTGATGAAGGTTTTGTGGGGGGTTAGTTTGTTTTTTGGCTTCACAGAAAATAAAGGTCTGGGGACTTGGTGTGACAGAAAGAGACAGATACTGGTTTGCAGCCTGGCTCTGCCAGTTGCTGGAGGATCTTGGGCTTGGAAGGCAGTCTCTGTGAGCCCAACTTTCTGGACTGATCCCCACATTCAGAGATTTCCCAGAGGATTAGTCAGCTGGTGGCCATGTGTGTTAAGCAGTTTGTGTGTGTCCATGGTGGCCAGTAGAGGGAGCTCCAGAAAGGCATTCCTTAGGGAGAGCAAAGTGCTCCGCAGGATTCATCTTCAGGGAGGCCAGTGCTGTGGGTTGGCATGAAGATGTAGCAGCTGGCTAAGTTGTGCGTTTGCATCTGATTTCCTCCCAACTTGGCTGTGGCTCACCATCAAGCCTGGAGCTCAGATACTTCTGGGGGCTTTGCTGCAACCACTTCCTGTTGTGTTGGAAGTTGTTTCACAACGGAGCCACCCATGACCCCTCAGATGGCCCCTTTGCCACTAGCCTTAGCAAACCTCCCAGGAGGCATAGCTAGACTGCCTACCTTCTTCCCCCTCTACTGTGCTTCGGGTGCCTCAGGCAGCACCTTGCTGCTTTAGGGAAGTCCACGGGGCCGGGTGCATTGAGATGGGTGTGATAGCATCAGGCTGGGCCTGTCGTTCATAGCCCAAGTACAATTTGCAAGTGCATCTCCTCCATGCACGAATAGGCAGCAACCTTGGGAGCCATGCAGCAGTCAGCCATGATTGCCTCAAAATAGAAATTCATGAACAAAAACAAATGTGTTTATTTTTAATTTGTGCTCATTATAGTTTGTGTGCTTCAGAACAGCTGCACCTATGAGACTGGACTGACATTTCTATAAACCCCTGGTGCACCTTTTGCACTATTTTATTTGCCATGAAAGGGGTAGTATTTCCCTTTTTGCTTCTGTCCTTCCCATCCTTTAAAGATTCCTCCTATTGAGGAGACCCCAGTGCTCAATAAGGTGAGGAGAAGAGGGGAACGGGTCCACTGGACCTCACCCCAGTGCCTCCTGTTCACTCACCTTCTTCCCACAGAGCTGGAGTTCCAGCTGGAAATCCTCTTCAGCACCATATCCTGTCCTATTCCTTGCGCTTTGAACACACAGCCTGAGCTCACCTGCAGGACCCAAGAGTCCCAACCCCTGACTCACACGTCTTTTAAGCCCTTTGCTTCTGTTTCTGGCTTTTGGTTTCTGATTTCACTGGCCCTGTGGTCTGAGATTTCATTGTCTGATGGCATCCATGTTATTTTTCTGTGCATTTTGGTATGCTTGAGAGTACAGGTAGGATGATAAAGTGATTTGGTGTTAGGACATCAAATTTCGAGTATACTTTACTAGAGGATGGGGATTACAATCTTATCTAGAGGAAGTTTATTCCCAGCTCTTTACCAGACATACCTTTGGTTTGTTACTCCCTTCATGCTTGCTGTCATGCAAGATAATGAGTGGACTTTGAGGAGAGCAGCTGACCTCATGGTGAGACTGTTAGGTGGACCGAAGTAAAGAGGAAGGTGCCCTGGCTGAGGGTCTGCATTTCTCCTTCTTCCCCTGCAGCCCTGGCCCGCCACCGCTACATGAAGCAAGCTCGGGCCATAGGTCCTCAGATGATGGAAAAACCCCAGTTCTGGGGTTCGGACAGGAGCTCCCAGGTCTCATCTTATGCAATGAACCCGCTGCTGCAGCGAGGTAAACCTTGCCAATGCCTCAGGCTGGGGAGGGAAAGGGCAGGCGTAGAAGCATGGCCTTCTATGGGTCTCTTTACGACTGACGATGGAAGGGAATGGAATCAGCTAAATACTGTGATATTTTAATGACCTGAATCCAAGCATTATGGTTTGGGCAACAGTTTGGCAGTTCTGTCCTTGTTTTCCTTCAGATTTGTCCTTAAGAACCAGTCTCCCACAGATGCCAGTGACTCAAGCTGCTGCTCACCCTCCCATCACCAATGGTGTCCTAGAGTTTTTGGAGAAAGAACTGCGGAACTTCAACCCAGCACAGCCTCTGCCTATGGACCTCAAAGCCAGATCTGGCCACCCCTGCAGCGTGCTGTCCTCCCTGGGCTCTGAGGTTGTGGAACGCAGAATCATCCAACTGCCGCCACTGATCAGAGAGCAGCCATCCTCGAGAAAGACCAGCGACCCATTGCACCAGCAGTGGCTCAGCTCAGCTCCCTCCAGACCCTGGTATCTGAGGGAGGGGAGAAGGCAGCATCATTACCCTGATTTCCGCCAGGAGCTCCAGGACCGAGGGTCATCCTGGACATCTGCAAGGAGGGAGCTGGATCCACCAGGGAGGGGACGGCACTGCTCCAGGCGGCATGGGTCACCTGCAACCTGGTCAGACCCAGACAGCCTCAGTGATGGTCCCTTGTCCAGTGAGGCGCATTGGAGGCCCAGCCATTCTCATCTCAGGGGCCACCACAGGGACAGGCCCCGCAGGGCTAGCCCGGAGGAGGATGGCCGGAGGGCCAGGAGACGCCGGCCCCGCAGCTACTCCCCTCCCGTGCCCTCTGGTGTCAGCTCCTGGAGCTCCGATGAAGAGAAGGAGACACTGCCCAGACACTGGGGGTCCCGAAGGCGCCGCAGCCGCTCCCGTTCTCCCAACTGGCCTGAGGAGAAGCCACCCAGCTACCGCTCACTGGATGTCACTCCAGGCAAGAATGGCAGGAAAAAAGGGAGTGTGGAGAGGCGCTCGGTGAGCCTGGGGTGTCCTGCTGAGGGTCGGGCGTGGGCAGAGAGGATCCTCCAGCCAGGCCTGGGCACAGTGGACACAGATCACCTCCTGGACCACCAGGAGGGTGCCTCCCCCTTGCTTGGCCCAAACTTTCCTCCCTTTCAGGCACCTCCCATTAAGGCTGAAGGGATCCAGACGATGCCAAGATCAGACTCAGTGGCAGTGAGCGCTCAGGTTCTACAGGCAGGTCAAGCAGGGGATGCTTTTCACAGCTGAGGAAACAAGGCTCAAGGTGCTGAACAGTTAAACACCTTGTACATAGCGGAGCTGAGACTTGAACACAGGCCTATATGCCTTGCACTTTACCTCCTGTCACAGCTGCTTGGTTTTACTTAGCAAGCCTATTTCCATACCCCCAAATTAGAACAGGCAGCCGGCCTGGGCACACTCAAGTGAGTATGCAAAGCCCTGGTGTGTCTGAGGCTGAGGCCCTCTTTGTACCCCGTTTGGAAGGATCGTTGATATACAAATCTTGGTATCCAAAATATGGGTCCAAATTTTAGGGAGCTGTGAATGGACAAGGGACCAGAAAGAGGAACAGAGTGGGACACAGGCCTTCAGGGCCTCTGGCTATAGACACTTATGCTGTTTTTAAACGTATGGCACTCTTTTTTTTTGGTACTGGGGATCAAACTCACAATCTCGTGCATGCCAGGGAGGTGCTTATACCACTGAGCTAAATCCTCAGAAAACATGGCTTTTTAAAAAATCATTTTATAAGGGCTGGAGATTTAGTGCAGCGGCATAAGCTCCTGCCTTACAAGCAGGTGGTCGTGAGTTCAATCCCGGTACTGATAAAAAGTTAAAACAAAAATTATTTTATAATGAATACAGCCAAATGGCAGTGTTAACGGACTCTTGTAAAGGACTGCCAAGATTACTCAAAAGCATTAATGAACCACTGGAATCCAAGATACTATACCCACAAAAATCTTTCATCCTCTATTTTACCAAAATCATTTTCTCTTTTGCTTCTGTTGAGACAAGCAGAGGAAATCGTAGTGGGGCCAGAGGGAATCACATCCCAGATTAGAAGGACAGCATGGAACTGGGGAGCCTTGTGGGCTTCACAGGATGTGCTTCTCTGTTGGAGGTAGTGTTCAGCTGCAAATTTTAAAAATTCTTACACACATGGTGTGTGTGAAGGACCAGCCCCCCACATGGAACCACAGGCAGCTCTTTCCAGAGCAGACTTTGGAGAGAACAGATTTAGGAGGAAGGCAGGAAACCAGCACTGGGTTTCTGAAACAGTCAGCAGCAGCTGTGTCGTATCCTCACACATGTCCCATGAGAGGCAAAGATCAGCAAAAGTGCAGAGCCGCCCTGCTGAGGCACTGAGGTGGGCATCGTTTGCAGCAGTGTTTTATTTATTCCTGTAGCAGCCATGTAATATAAGTCCATGGGGACTACAGATTTTCTGATGATCACACGCAGCTCTGAGATCCCTGTGATTATGTCAACAGAAGCAAACGAGAGGACTGTTTGTATTATTGGCCTCATTTGCAGATGACGCAGCTGTGTCCCCCATGTTACCATTAAGGAAAGTAAGCCCTGAGTGACACTTTTTTTTGAATTATCACAAATGCTTTTTATTCTGCATACTTTTGTGTAATATGCTGTGAATCATAATCTTTTTAAAAATGGCTAAAATGTTACTCAGTGCATACAAATCATAGACAAAAGACTTTTACAAATAAGAAACAGATAATAGTACTATGGGTTTTTATGTATATGACATATTTCACTGCTATTTGTATAATAAAGCTCTAATTCTGTGACGTTAAAAAAGAATTAAATCCTGAAAAATACCAGAATCAGTCAGGGCTTGGAGAACTACAGTGATACTTACTTTACTCATATAGTAAGTAAAATTGTCTCTTCATTTTAGCAGGAAAAAAAAGTAATTTAGATGAGTTTTTGATCCTAGATCTAAACCTTATTTTTTCATAAGTTAAATTTTTCTAACCTTTATTTTAAGCTAAGTTACATAGAGCTTCTTGTATGAAAGGGGAAGGAAGAATATCAGGCATATGAAAGACACTAGGGTAAGTCATTTCCAAATCCTGTGTGATGAAATCCTTACAAAAAACATGTAGGCTCCGAGAGGGTTAGTAACAGGCTCAGAACCACACAGCAATGAGGAGTAAAGCCTAAGATTGAAAACAGCCTTCTGATTCTCACCCTGTCTCCCTTTTAGTAAATCATGCTGCTTCCCTCAAAAGGGACAGAAATATTAGGCCCAGTGATATGTTATAAGTGACTTTATTGCTTCCTAATTTTCTAAAAGTATCACAGCCTCCTTTATCATCATGATGAGCCCAACAATAATTCTACCAAAAGTGAATCAAATTTTCAACTATAAAATCACTCCCAAGACCCAAAAACTTGGTCCAGGAGCATTTGAAGAATTCCTTTTGTTTCCATTTGTCTCCCAGAGGCTTTATTTAACACGTGATCACATTCAACCTTACATCATATTCTGACAATGACTAGAGCCCTAGAACCAAGGCTCAATTCGGCAGATTGGTTAGTTTGAAGGATATTGTTTTATTTATAACTTGGATTCTGAATGCCTTCAATGTGGCAAAAGTCTCCCAGCCAAAATCTTCCTCTGCCCTCTGTCGGTGGGGCTGGGTGCTTTGCCCACAGGCTACCTTCCCTGCCTTGGAAGTCGTAAAGCCAGCTAAACTCCAACATTATAATACAACTGGGCCACTAGATGGCGATATTTGATTATGTGTCGCTTGAAGTTGCATTTATTCCTTGAGTAAATAACACGCACCACTATTTTCTCATAAATCAGGCTTTATTAGTTACAGCTTTACCATAGTTTCTTACAAAATATTTATTAAAAATACTTCATTACATAAAATTTTAAAAAAATTCATTAGGTATTCAGAAAAATGGTAATTAAACATCATATGTTGTAGCCACAGGGACAACTTTCAAGAGTAATATTTGACAAATAGATAGGAACAAGAACTCCCGGGGCACATAATCTCCTGGGAGCCTGAAATAGGATGAAACTTTGTCTATATAATGCTCAGGAGAAAACCAAAGTTATGTTGAGGGATCTTCCTCCTAATACGAAGTCCAACTGTCTCACTTTAGGTCAGGTGGCCTTCCAGCCAACCAAAGCTACAATCTGAGAAGCATAAGAAGCAGAAGCTTCAAGCTTTCAACTCCAGAGGTTACGCACAGGATGATTCCTGTGTGTATTCCTGGCCTCCTTCCAATTCTGGGAAGTTTCCTTTAACACCCCCCCCCCTTCACTCTATTCCTCTGTGTCAGAGGAAATGTGCATCATGGGATGTTTTTGTTAAAAACAAAAACTCTGAAACGCACTTTTTGGATAAGTTGGAAACTTTTTTAAAAATAAAACATGAGTATACATGCCTTTATGTATACTTTATGTATAAATATGGACACATATTTATCTTCTTATTTCAGATAAGGATGGTCACATTAATGGACTAAAAGTATAGTTTTTCTTTTTTTAAATTGTAATTTTTATTAGTATATCTTTGCAGCACATAATAATTACATTCCTGAGGGGAGTTAATACATGTACATAACACATCTTAATTCTTTGACATTTCTTTCTCCTCCCCTCCATTCATCTCTTGATTTCCTTCACATTTGCAAAGATCAATCTCCTTGTTTCCTGTTATTTATCTTTAATTTGTTCATTAAATTATTTGCACTTTAGCGTATGAAATGATCCCCTACAATATAGAGTTAGATACATAAATTTGAGAAATGTAAACCCTAACTTTTACTCCACTGAAGGGGCAGGAAAAGCCCAAAGATAAGTGAATAATTTTTGAAGAAAAGCCACTGAATTTGTTAAGGAAGAGGTAATTAGTGATCATTGATAAATAACTTCAGAGAAATACTGAGATACAAAGCCAAAATTTTTTTAAAAGGCTGCAAAGAAATGATTCAGAACATATACAGAGTCAGCTTTGCAGTCAAATGATAGGCAAATGGACAGATGGATAGAACAGAGAACTTTTTTTTAAGTCTATAAGAGACTAGAAAATGTTTTTGAAGAGAGAGAAAGTGAGAGGGAGAGAGAGAGCAAGCCAGGGGATATAGCTCAGTGGCATAGTGCCTGCCTGGCAAACATTAGGTTGTGAGCTTGATCCTCAGTGCCAACACAACAGGAAAAAAAAAAAAGCAAGATGCAGAATGATTATGATTCAGATGTTTTCATAAAGTTATTTGAGAGATGCTAGAGGAGAAAGCTAAGCCTAGGTGACGAGACTGATTCCATAAAGAGTTAAAATATTTCTGGGCTCAGGTTTGCTGTCCCAGCTTCCACCGCTAGCCTAGGAATTGAACTGCACACTTTGTATATCGTATGCACAGATTCTGGCTGACTGGATTTTTTGTGTTCTGTTCCTTAGGGGAGAGAGAGCTCCCATAGTGGGAGGAGTATGGTCATTTAGTCACCGAGCACAGCACTGCTTCTGTGGCAGCTTCTCACTTCCTGTGTGTCATCAGCAGCATCCAGATGTCCAGCTGATTTCAGAGAGATGCTGCAATCTACGTAACAACTTCGGCTTCAATTCTGAGAATCAAATAGAAGAATTTTAAAAACAAGATCAAAGAATTGGTGACTAGCCTTGGCCTCAGCTCACAGTCTCTAACTATTTATTGTCTTTGGTGTATAATGGAGCCTAACTGGGATGTGATCCCTCAGTTGCTTGGTAGCTTTTCTATAAGTAGGTCACGGTGGTTGGCACCATGGCAGTTTTCAAAACGAGAACTTATGAATTGTATTGATAGGTTTTCTGTTGTTGGAACAAAATATCTTGTATGTACAGCTTAAGAAGAAAAGATGTATTTTTTTGGCTGATGGTTTTAGAGATTTCAGTCCATGATCAGCTGGGTCTGAGGCAAAAACACCATGGAGGAGGAGGACAAGGAGGAAAGCTGTGCACCTCATGGCAAGCAGGAAACAGAGAGAGACAGGAGAGAAGGAGGGGAGAAGGGAGAGGGTATGGGAGAGGGGAGATGACAGGAGAGGGGAGAGAGGAGAGAGCCGGAGAGGAAAGTGTCTGAACACAAGAATATGCCCTTCTGGGTTATGCCCCTAGTGAGCGGCTTCGTCTGACCAGGCCTTGTCTCCAATAGCACATTAAGTTATGGACTCGTCAGTGGGTTAGCTAATAAGGGAATAAGGTTAGAGCCCCTTATTCCCTTCCAAAAATCTCACCTCTGAACACCTGAGCCTTTTGGGGGACATTCTTGTGTAAACCATGGCAGGAAACTTTAAGAAGTCAAACATGTTTGTTTGTTTTTTTTTATTTTAAAGAGATTAAGATAAAAGAGGACGTAACAAAGCAGATCAGAACAGAACAATTTAAGCAACACAGTATTTCACAAGACAATCCAATATATTAGTAGCTACCATAATGTCTCTTTCCTTGAAATAGTGGAGTATACCCTCATACCCAATAGTATCAAACATAACAAAATATGTAAAACTATTAAAGAGAATGAAAGTATTACAGGACATTCAGAACCAAATAACAGAAAACGAAAAGTGGTTGCTATATTTTCTCATTGTCCATAAAAGACACAACATGATAGAACCAATGGAAACAGAAGAACAAAAGCATGGTAGGACTTCAAATCAAGATGATATTAAATTAGCACTGGCCATTATAATGTCTTATTTTCTTCAAAATAGCTCTTCATACCATCACAGACAATAATAAAATCAAACAACCAAGGGCAAAATCATTCCAACTAATGAATGGGAAGAAGTCAAACATGTTTCAGGAGCAAGAAAACTACGAAGGATTAGGGAGACCCCCCAGGAACTTGTCTGCCATTGAGTATCTTGGGGACCTTTAAATGTTAGGGGTCACTGATCCTATTCCCAGTCCTGAGACACTTTTGAGCTTCCGGTCTGAGACAGCATGGAAATTCTATACGTATGTTCCCTTTCACAAGCTGTTCATCAGAAGGGATACAGGGAAGCATTTTTGCACCAACCTTATTCATATGTCTTGTTTCCTTCCTGCTCATTTTTCCCGACATCTAATTTATATTTTCTTATCTTTATGTACACATTAAAATCACTTTAAATGCTTCTTGGGAATAATACAGTATAAATTAATAGGAGAAAATAAATGTACTGAGCTGAGTATACTGCCCCAAATAAATACCTGATTTTTTACTTTGGTCCACTCAATTGATTTAAACCTTCTTCCCCACTAAAGCTCACAGAAGAACCAGAAGGACCTAAGTAGTTCTGAAAGTACCCTTCTCCTGACCTTGCAGAGTTGAGATTTCCCAAGCAAGAGCATTTGGGCAGATGTTGCTCCTGGAGTCCCAGGAGGGAAGGACCCTACCTTCCCTTGAATAGTTCAAAAAGCTCCTCCCATTTTCTATTTTTATGCTGATATAAAGACCTCTGAGCAAAGGGGACGGGCCAAACAGGTGCAAGGGGTGCAAGCCTCAATTAGTATCCATATGTGCACGGCCTTAAGCTTAATTTAGCATCTGTTATATCAACCCATTCATTTTTCCCCTAGTTTCATAACTACATGTGAAGAAAATAAAGGTTTCTTTGGGACTTTTGATATTCATATGTAATTGGGCTTAAATTAGCAAAATAGAAGTGACAAATTTTAAGAGTGTAATCACAAAATTCAATCAGCAAGGGACTTCTGGCCTGGAAAAGATAGAAGAGCCCCACTTTTCTGTTGTGTTGTTTGTTTTGTTTTTTTCCCATTACCTGCAAGTTTATAAATCTTGGAAATGGCACAAGAAAGAACTAAAAGTATTCTGAAGGACACTAAGAATGTGGTGGCCTGGTTTGAGAACTCAGGACCAAAATAACAAAAGGGAACTTACACACACACACACACACACACACACACACACACACGTGCACACACACACCCTAATCAACAAAAGGTATCCTAGCAGCTTAACTTGGATCTAACAGATGTCTCTGGCAACCACACCTGAGGGGCCAGTAGTTGCCAGCCCTACCAAATATAAGCAACTAGAGGACTCTCCTCTCGTGGACCTGCAACTCCTCTTCTGATAGGCACTAAGGTAAGTAAGAGGAAACACTAAGAGAGATCCAGGTAAAGTGGGTGGCTTAACTGGGGAAGCCTCTCTGTCTCCCCAAGCCTGAGCCTCTCCTCCCAGAGTCATCAGGGCTGACTGGTGGAATCAAGAAAAGGAGCCACCTGACAGAAACAGTCCTGCAGCCAGCAGCGTTGTCCTAAAAGTCTTGTTATGGAACCAAGATGCCCTGGACCAGAGAAACTCAGCAACTGGGTCGGCAGCAGTATTTCCCCTTCAGCAAAAGATAGGACTACCAAGACAAAAGAAATTCCTCCCGTCCCCTCAGGGGGGCACCAACAGAGACCACTGGGAGCCAGGCAGCACATATAAACCAGACAGACACCCTGCAGAGACTTTCAGAGTTACTGGATAGTAAGCAAGTAGCTAGGCGCTAAACCCAATGACTCTCTGTAAAATATTTAAATGTAACCCAGAGTCTCCTAACATAACAAAAATACCCAGAATATAAACCAAAAACCTAGAAAATCACAGCTGTAATGAAAAAAGGAAACCACTGATGCCAACACTGAGATGAATGTGATGTTGGAATTATTAAGAATTTTAAAGCAAGCATCATAAAAATGCTACAGTAAAAAAAATGCCTCAGTAATCAATTACAAATGATCTTGAAACAAAATTGAAAATCTCTGAAGAATTATCTGAGAAAAAAGAAAATTATAGAAATGAAAAATAAATTGAAAACTTGCTGGATAGGCTCAATGGTAGTGTTGATGGGGAACAAAAATTGTGACCTGGAGGGTAAAATAGCAATTAGACTTAAAAAAAAAAAAAGATGAACAAAGCCTCAGGGGTCTATGTAACAATAATGAATTTCCACATTCAGGCCATTGAAAGCCCAAGAAATGAAGGAAAAAGAGGATAGAGATTGAAATAATGGCTAAAAATGTACCAGATTTTATTAAGTGCTTCAGCCCCAGGATTCAAAATGCTAGGGCTGGGGATTTAGCTCAGCAGCATAAGTGCCTGCCTTGCAAGCAGACAGTCATGAGTTTGATCCCGGGTACAGATAAAAAAAAAAAAGAAAGAAAATACTAGTAAATCCCAAGCAGGATAAATTCAAAGAACTCTATGTCTTACATATCATAATTAAAATTTTGAAAACTAAAGAAAAACTCCTTAAAATATCTAGAAAGAAATAGTACATCACTTGTAAAGAAATACCCATTTGAGTGGGTTTCTCATATAAAACCAAAAACTGTATACACAAATAGCCCAATAAGTTTAAATGCTGGAAGAAAACTGTCAACCTACTTTTCAAGAAGGAAATGATGCTTTTAAAAATTCACAGACAAATGAAAACTGCAAGATTTTGGGACCAAAAGACTTCCCCTTAAAATATTGTCTCAAAGAAGTTCTGCAACAGAAAGCAATGGATAAAAGAAGGAGATGTTGATGAAACACAACAGAACAGGGAGAAGTATGGGTCCATATAATCTCTTCCTTATGACTTTTATAAATGATATTTGATGATTGAAACAAAAAAATTAATGATGTGTAATGTTCAGTGATATTTAAAGATGAGCCAAAGAGACCTCAATGAAGTGAGTTTTCCACCATTCAAGGTGCTAAACGTTGGCACCAGTACACTCTGATAAATAATGTAAAACACCCCGAGCAACAACTAGTTTTGTTTTTATGTAGACAGACTCAAAAGTACTATAAGTAAATCAAGATGGAATCCTAAAGCATAATCAAGGACCAGGGGTTTAGCTCAGTGGTGTAAGCACCTACCTGGCAAGCGCTAGATCTTGAGTTTGATCCCTGGTACCAACAAATAAATAAATAAAAGCATAGTCAAATACATGCAGTAAGTTAAGAAAAAAGACTGATCAAAGAAAAATAGATATAACAGACTAAACTGCAGACAAATCAATTATCTTACATATAAATGTTTTAAATACAGCAGTAAACAGACAGATTCAAAGAGTGAATTTTTTTTAAAAAATTATAGAGTACCTAGGAAAACTTTAAATTCAAAAACAAGTTGAAAGTTAAAAAGTGGCAATAGCTATACCATGTAAATATTAATAACAATTTTTAAAAATTAGAAATATCAGTAGTGATGTTCAGTAAAGTAGATTTCAAAGCAAAGTTCCAGAAATGAAGAGTTATTAGATAATAACAAAAAGATCAAGCCACCCAGCAAACACGTGTAGTTTACTAAATGTTTACAGACTAAGCTACCTCAGATACATAAAATGAAAACCAGAAAGAAAAAAACTGAAACACCGTACATGGTAATCAAAGGGTTACGAATCTCCACACGCAATCTGCTTTGATGCCACACTTCTGCTCAGCATGTACTGGACAGTCATGACGCACTGTACTAATGACTGAACAAAGTACAAGATAAAAGCAAATACAAAAACCATTATTTTCTCCCCTGAAATGGTGTTTTATCTTTCCAAAAGGCCAAAACATACAAATACCTTTAACTAAATCTAAAAAGCCTTTTTTGAGACCTAAGCGCAAGGCCCTCGACAATTTTCAGATCTGATATACAACTTTTGACTTTTGTTGTGATACATGTCTCTCGAAGATTCCCCAAAGAACAGAAAATGTTCTAAAAAAGACATTTCTAAGATAGCTACATTTGTCAGCTCAGACCCTATCCTACATCTTTATTCCCTGACAAAACCCCAGTCTCTCACTTTCTGATTCCTCTCTTGGAAATGTACCTGCTGCCCTTAACAGCGTACTCAGCAATGTAAACAGACTCCTGTCTTTCCTATATTCTTTCTCTATTACTAAATTCTTTTGTTGCCTGCATCTCAGGCCCTCTATGCACTGCCTACCACTACGATATGAGAAATTTAGAAGAATCTACAATTATTGGAAACTTCAAAACTCCACCTCAGTGACAGATAGAGCTATGAGGCTGAAAATCACGAATAGAAGATCTGGACACCGAAATCAACAGACCTAATAATATACATTTAAAAAAAAAAAAAAAAAAAAACACCCAGCACCAACAGAATACATGTTTCTCAATTGCCCATAGAATGCTGACCAAATAGAAAAATAAATAAAACATACTAAATGAAACTTGAAGGAGATAAAGTCATACATTGTGTGCTCTGACCAAAATGGAAGCAAACTGGAAACTTCTAACAAAAACAAGCAACTCTCAAAACATTTAAAAACCAAGCAACACACTTCTAAATAATTTGCAGAGTAAGAGGAAGTTAACTTTCCTCAAAGGAAATGAAGAATATATAGAACTAAATATAAATGAAAACATAAATCATAGTATATTCAACTTCAATTCGAGAGATCTTCTTTCTTAAAAGATTCCTTTCAGGGGGCTGGGGATTTAGCTCAGCAGCATAAGCGCCTGCCTTGCAAGCAGGCAGTCGTGAGTTCGATTCCCGGTACCAATAAGACCAAAAAAAAAAAAAAAAAAAAAAGATTCCTTTCAGACTATTGAAAAAAAGATGAAAGAAACAGCTGAGCAGCTAAAGCCATTGGACCGTGAAGCTTCAGGTTTCAAATGGACTTCCTGGTATCAAAATGCAAATGCTAGCACTCTTACATTTC